CACACACACACACACACACACACAAGAGCAGTGGACCAGAGTCAAGACAGTGCGTGAGCTTGAGGCAAAACATAAGGGAGGGCCAGCTGCCAGGGCCTTCCAGGTCCCTGTCACCATCCCTCCCCAACCTCCAGCAGCCGCACCACCAGGGCTGTGACCATCCCTATCACCTCTGTCTTCATTGTTGGATTAAGTGACAGATTCTTTTTCAGCCCTAGTATCTAGTATTCTAGTATCTAGTATTCTAACTCACACCTAGCGTAATACTACATCTGGTCCTCATGAGCCTACAGTCTAGCTGGGCATCAGGGTTCATACACAGGTCATTGGTACAAAACTGTAGGCGTATGGACAGGGCTGTAAGGACTCACTGCACCTTTAGAAGGACTTGGGCAGGGATAACTGGGACCATCAGCGAGCACCTGCAGTGGCCTCGGTGTTGGGAATCCAGAGAGATGGTAGATTTTCTCGGAGAAGCTCACTAGCCAGTAGGGGAGAGACCAGGAGGCAGCTCGGGCAGTCAGACCACGAGGGCTAAGAGCGCTCCAAGGCTGAGAAGCCTGTGGGAGCAACAGCGTCACAGAAAGTAGGACAACAGGGAGTTCTGGGTAGGGAGTGCACTCCCTGTCAGGGCTACAGAAGTGGGGACTGAGGGAATTGGGACAGGTTAAATCTGCCCAGAGGTGAAGAACGGAGATGAGGCCCCTGTGTACCTCCACCTTCTCTGGCATCTCCCCAGGAGCCAGGCCCGTGCTCTCTGGGCACTGCCAGTGGGCTGCTTCCAGTGGAGGCGGCACTGAAGGAAGCAAACATGGGGGACCCCGACTCGCAACTCCTCTGGCCCCAGCCATCTGGGAGTCTGGTTTTGGATTGCTAGCACCTGCAGACCATGTCACTACAGTTCACGTGGAGTGCTTGGACTGTCTGCTTAGATGTGGGGAGGCTTAGCAACCTTTCCAAAGTGGTCTGCCAAGTCTGTGCCTTTTCTGAAACTGAGCCATCACCCCTCCTCGCAGATGAGGAGAAGCAGAAGGGGGAATGGGGAGCCCACACTCCATCCCTCTGCCCAGTCCTGCTCCCTCTCCCATGCAGATTGTGAACGTCAGTTATTAATCCCGAGTCTCCCTTCTGCCTCTTGAGACCGAAGGCTGAATCCTCCAGGGAACATGGGGGCCGTGACTGGCCTGAACAAGGAAGAACTGGGCCCTCAGGAAGCAGGAGAGCAATGCTGAGGCTGGCTAATGAGAGGCCAGAATCTTCCCAGCAGAACTTGGAAGCAGTTGAGACCATCACTCTCTGCCATTTCTAGCCATGTGACATGAACAGACTCACAGAGCCCAAAAGCTCAAGGTAGTTCTGGAACAAAATTTTCAGACAACCTCAAGGGAAAGTGCCACGACAGGCTTTGTAACCGGGCTGAGAACTCCCCCAGGGAGGACAGCCCACATGGGGACAGGAGGTGCTTCTGTGGCCGAGAGTCTCTTGGAGAGCGAAGCTACATGGGGAAAGCCACAGCCTCCTCCTCTCGAGGCCTGGCCTTATTCATGGGGTCCCGTGGCAGCAGCAGCTCCTGGATCATGGTGTACGCAGGACATTGCACAGGGAAGTAATTCTTCTGAAAGA